CGTCATCCGACCTGGACTAGACCATCGGCAACCGAACACTAGTCGACGACGAGGCGGTACCAACCCACAAAACTGGCAATGGCCATTCGGCCAACATGGCCACAAAAACTGTAACCCGAAACGAAGTCTTTTGTGCTAACCGGATACGTACCAGGGAGTAAATATAGGATTGCATGTTCAATTGTAGTAGCCGTTACCATCGGAAGTCTTTCAGAGTCGGTCGAACCGGAGTAAAGAAATATAACAGTACGCTTGCTTCACTTTAGTTCTGTCCTAAGCGCATGACGTTTCCACTTGTAAACTGTGTACTAGCATAAGCACAGAAGCACGACAGTTTAATCTCCGAAAGTATGTCGTTTAAACATGAAAGTTGCTTCGGATGAGGCGACAATAGTACAGCTTGCACCTCATTCGTCTCCCCTAGTTGCTACCACAAAACCAAGTAAAAGAGTTAGGGGTTCTCACGACCACGCAGTACCAGAAACCGTTGGAACCATGAATCAATTCGTCGTTGCGAACACTCGAATCAAGCCCGGCACCAACGCCCACATCCTGGTATCCAATGTATCGCCTGATGAAACATCGGTAACACTTAGATGCCGATTGACCGACAAAAAGCAAAACTCTCTGAAGAGCCATCCAATTATGTAAACGTTGCTGCTCGATATTATTAAAGTGCGACTTAGTAGCCTCACCCTCTGCGGCCACAACATGGGTCAAGGACCAGACGCAATCTAAAGAGACGCCACCAAAACCTCGGATTGTCGTGACTCCAACGCCACCAAAACTAAGCAGAACTACGGTGCACCGACGCTAATATGCACCAATTTAGCTGGGTCCAAGGTAAAATGCTTAAGTGGTACACAGCAGGATGATTTGAAACAGCGGAATTTCCTTTGTGATCGAATCGAAGTTCGCTCCAGGCCAATTAACTTAATGCGCATCACTAGACATCCAAAGTAGATGCGCTACGTTGGTCCCGGCTACTACGAGTGAAACTAGGATGCACAACTGGTGTCGAGACGGTGCTTTTGTCGGCAGACTGCCTGTGAAATAAGGACAGTGAGATTCGCAAATTTCCAGATGTTCCACAGAGCGAACGTCAAAGGAACAAAAATAATTCACGTGACTGCAACACGGAGATAAGAAGGAGAATCAGTTTCCTTCGTGTTGTGCCCTAACTGCCGCCAGCTAGCGATGGCGAAGCCAATGTTCATGACATGGAAGAATGGCGGTGCATCCATCAAGAACACTGTGCTGGTGAAATCATGTTTCAGTCGATTACACGGTTCCCCGTGTCGCCTCGCTCAAACCATTGACCTGAGGATACTGAAGCTCATGGTTCAGTCACAACAGATTGCGGGGAATTTAATCCGCAATAAGCTGATACTGCTCTACGCAGTTCCTTCAGAATTATGAGTGAAAACATCAGTTAGAGCACTGCAGCCACGCGCTGTCCTCGCAGAAACGACTCCATTCGCGGCTTACTAAGACCACAACGAATCAGAAAACTGTGCGCTCGGAGTGGATGCAATTAAGAAATGTATCCATGGACTACATACCGCATGTACAGGTGAGACAAAGAATATATTGCCTTCATGTCAACACCTAGAAAATCACAAATATAACAACAAGATGCCAGCACGAATTCGCCTCTTTCAAATATGCCTACTCAAGAGCTTCTAACATCCAAGGAAATTTCCTGCTTTTTTCACTAATACTTAAGCTTTACTTAGTTAACTTTCTGAAATGCGGATGCGTCAAGGATCAAAAGCCTATGATCAGATCGCTATAACGGATACATGGTTACGCCAACAATGCCCCTCTACAGGATGTATGGGTCACATAGACCCAAGAAGACGGCACATAAGTGAGCGATTATATTTTGTTTTTCTCATGCTTTACATCAACGACCACAGCACCCTGTGTATTTCTGCACGTTTACACTTGATTTTGATTTCGCATTAATGTTATTTAGCAACGCTTTCTTCATGGTAGACGTTCTGTAGCTGACTCATATATCTTGATTTCATCATATTCACCCCAACCACCCTACGGGGCCTGACAAGCACTTGCTTTTATCCCGTGATAAATTATTGTTCATTGTTCAGAGACATCAAGTTCGCACTGCTTGGCATATCCGCTGTTTGGCACAACAAACCCAGCATAGGCGGAGGGTTGGCACAATACTTCCGTAAGGACCTCCAATGTGATCATATAGAGGATCCGGTCCTATCCTATTGTTACTCTCTACGTTTAAAATGTGACAATACCTGCTTGGTGGCGGTCGTTTTCAAATTGCTTTCATCCACGCCCGAGATAAAATGTTACCTGGATTCCGCACTAAGGCTGGTAATAAACAAGGAGTAAAATCACATGCTTTTTAATGGCGATTTCAGCATCCACACTCTGGAATCCAAAGCCGCTTCTGAGAAGTAATTTAAGACGGATATACTAGAGGTTGTCTCCAGTTTTGCGTTCTATGAACACATCAACACTCCAACCAGATTCCGAGAAATTGATAGACAGGGCGTGTTCACGTGGCCAGGCAAGAGTTCCTCAGGCAGTTTAACACTCCACTTGTGGAGGCATCAGAAACAATTCCGTCTGACATATCAATAAGCGCACCCTGAGCACCTAGAACTGGATGGCCCATGTGATCCAACGCGACCATTGTACGCATCTTGTCGGCTAGGATAAAATGGAGTACCCACAGAAGTTGGCAATGCGTATGGGCGCAAATCATAAGCTGCTGTATCAACCTATAAGCAGTCTACGTATGGTTAAAATCAGAATTCCTCCTCTTTACACAGCCGATCGGCAGACACGGACCACGAAGGATACCGTGGAAACACTAAATAAATAAATAAATGGCATATTCCTCGGCGACGCGAGGCGCAGTCCAACTAGGTGGTCTGATCAATGTGTACAGCATGATCGCAAAAAGTAATCAATTTGTTCACGCTTTTTACAATGGATCCAAAACGGGTAATAAAGTAATCGGCAGGTTTAAAGTATTAAAGAAATTAAAAATCCAGGAACATTAACAAACGCAGATTTAAACAGATGTCCAGGCCACTCGTAGAACCGTCCCCAACAGACCTGCTTCCATGCAACGTATTCCCTCGAAAGTTTTCGCCCGCACTTCCATGGTCTGATTGTGCCGGTGTGACAATGTAGCACTTGAGCCATCATCTGTTTATCATATGTTTTGTTCTGCTGCTGCTTCCATGCATGTATTATGGGCGATGAAGCCTCAGCCCGGTCCGTCATGCGGATCATTGCATTATGACACTTTTTATACACCAGTAAGTTGGCTGTAAGGTGCCTTGCATAGGTAAAGTCTTTTTTACAGATGAGGTCACAGACGGTCGCATAATTCTGTGCTCTGTGGTAATCCTGGATTATTCCGTTCATTTTTTGTGCTACATTCTCGGAAATACGCCCATTCGTTTCGGCTCGCCGAGTTCTATCAAACGGGATTTATATTTGCGCAGTAAGTCCTCCGTCTCGCTATTTCATCCCAACCGGCGTCTTCGGCAATTCGTACATTAAGAACCACGATTGAAAGCTTGTTTTTTCAAGGTAATCTCAGTGAATTTAAGAAACCACTCTACAGAGCTTTTCTAAAGCTATCAGGTGACATATAGCTTAGTACTGTGCACCACCATACACCATAGATACTGGCTATTTTGTCCCTTCATCTATATTCCTTTGTGCACCCTACCACACGAAGTGTTTGTGATTCCATACACGCTTGCGCCAGGACCCATCACCACCAAACCCGGACAGCGACGGTTACCGCTAGCCGGACTAGTCAATTCACGCAGCTCACAACGGTGCGACCGGCGTGATTTAAAGTGCATACGAGTCACTAAGCCATGGGAAGGCGAAGTTTATCAGCGGGTCCACGCGTGAACAAAACAACGAAGGTCAATCATGGCTCAAGTAAGCGGAGAACTGTCATCACAAAAATCACGTGCTCTTTGTGTGCAAATTCTTACGACGACGTGGACGTGAACTCAGAACTTGGCGGAAACCGCAGCGCAATAACAAATAGTTTGTGGTTCTGTGATGCGTGTTCAGATAGCCCAATAGCCAAGATTATCCGAACTCTCAACGCGAGGTGTGAAATGTTGGCTGTTGCGTCATCCGAACAGAAAGAATTGGTCAAGGCTTTGGGAGGGAAAATCGCTGAACTCGAGTTGCAGCTTAGTGTATTAAGTAGCCCTAATCCCAGATCTACCAAAAGACCAAATTTATCCATTAAAAATGTTACACGTTCCGGCGAAAAACAAGCACCATTAGCGATAAACAACTGTGATGCCAAGCCAGTTGAAAATTCTATAAAATCTTCTGTTGTACCGCAAGGCGTAAAGAGTTATGCACAAATTGCACGATCATCGCTATTAGCTGGGCAGCACATTACAAACTGTGTGAATAACGTCGTTGCACAGGAGAATTCTTGCTGCAGCCTTGACTTGTCTTCCCCACAAGACAAGACCAACACTCCCACACGACAAACCTCCACCCAAAAAGAACTGCAACAAACTAAATTACTACGCAACCAACAAGCGATGACAGTCATATGTTCAAACGTACCAGAACCCACCAGCGAGTCGTTAAAAGGTCGAAAAGCCGAAGAGCAAAATCGCTGGACTGAGATAAGCTGCGCACTAGGACTAAAGGTTCTCCCAACTAGTCTTACACGTCTGTCACGAAACCCATCGTCTCCTCACGTAGGGGAACCTCGGTTACTGCGAGTAACATTTGGCAACACAAAGGACTTGGAGGATGTTCTCTTAGCAAGCCACAGTCTACCGAACTCTTCTCTCAGTGCCCGCATTTTTCCAGACATGCCATGGAAGGAAAGACAAAAGTGAAAATCCGACCCAACCGCGTCTCGTCAAAATGTAATGAAGAAAGTGGTGTTGGTTCATGGTGTGCCCGAACTGAAACATGGCGACACCAGTGAAAGACAAAAACACAATATTGATGAGTGGCGCTACATCACAGAACTCTATGGCATGCAGAATGTTGTGGCATTCGACGTCAGCCGCTTAGCTTCCTCCCCAAACTATCAAGGGAGCGGGCCGAAAATTTTGAAAGTTACCTTGGCTACGCCGGAGATGGCATCAATGGCAATTAACGTGTGGTACCACAGCAGAAGGCTAGGACCACCAGAAGTACGACTGAGACCATTCCTGCAAGCAGTACAGACCACTGGTACAGTTGAGTCAGACCTGGCTTTTCCGACCATAGACCAGCCAAGCGTGCAAACACTCGTGTCAAAAAACGTGGGCAGACCGGCACTGTTTGTGCCGGTCAAACACAGCGAACCCACCTCCTAATGCGGCAACAAATGCAATGCTGCTACACAAACGCCCAAGGGCTTTACTCCAAGTTGCCGGAATTGCGCCATCGGCATGAAGCAGCAACTTGGGACATCATAGCATTAACTGAAACCTGGCTCTCAAACGAGATTTTGGATCCAGAAATTGAACTTAGTGAAATGTCAGTCATTCGAAATGATCGTCCATCTCGCGGTGGTGGCGTTGCTATCTACTACCGAGATCACCTGAAATGTGAAGCTCTCACTGAGCATTCCCTTATTATCCCCGACGCCTTATTTTGCCGGCTGCAGCTATCCGGTCCCGATGGTTGTCCTCAGAAGAAGACACATGATGCTTGCCTCAAAGTAGTTGTCTACAGGCCGCCGAACTCCTCCGCCGACAGCGATGATATTCTGTTAAATGCTCTCCAATATGCTATGTCGAAAAAGTACTCACACTACCTAATAATGGGTGACTTCAATGTACCGTCAATAGCATCTGTGTTCCCAAGTGGGCCATGCTTCAAATCAAAACTCCTTGAGTTCTTGACTATGGCAGTTTTGTATAACCATGTGGATCAACCAACCAGACACCGCGGTTCAAACAAGCCTTCAATACTTGATTTAATCCTGACCAATGAGGAGTTAATGGTTGAGTCGGTTTCATACAACCCCCCGCTAGGTTGTAGCGATCATTCAGTTCTAACGTTTGATTATGTGTGTTATGCCAGTATGGTTGACAACGAACCAGAAACCCGACGATTCATCACCAACTATTCCAAGCTTCACACTATAGCGACAACCGTTGACTGGGACCTCCGGATGCACACTTCGGCGAATGATGCCTGGCAAGTGTTGAAAGGCAAGATAAACTGGGTCCTACAATCAGCTTCAAAAGACGTACCATTACGAGTTTCGCGACGGAGCAACAACTGGATCCGGAGTAGAACACGTAAGTGGTTGAATAGGCGAGACGAGGCTTGGAGGGGTCATTTGCTAGGTCCAAGTGATATCACGTGGAATCATTACAAAACAGCCAGAAACTACTGCACTTCACTCCTTAAAGCTGACAAGTACGAATGGCAGGAAACTATAGTACGCAAATTTACTAGCAATCACAAACTGCTCTACCGGTATGTGAATGACAAAAGGAAGGTTAAGACGGGAATACCACCACTAGAGACGGTCAATGGCCTAACGGTTACTGAAGAGGAGACCGCGGACGCATTGCTCATGCAGTTTGTCTCAGTGACTAGACACACCATGGAACCATCGCCTTGCTACATCCCAGCAAATATCGTCGACTTATCCACGGTCAACTTTAGCCCTACATCTGTGGCAAAGAAATTACAGTCGCTCAGGGAAAATAGTGCGCCGGGAATTGACAAGATCTGTCCGAAAGTACTTAAAACCCTTGCACCCACCATGGCAGTCCACCTTGCAACCTTTTTCCAGTTTCTATTTGATTCTCATACACTTCCGTCTGAGTGGAAACGTGGACTTATCACTCCGATATACAAGGGAGGTAAGCGGTCAGACCCTGCCAACTACCGACCTATTACTCTCCTTCCTGTTCTATCAAAAGTGATGGAGTCTATAATCGCTGATGAAATGGTGAGATATTTTGAAAGTCTACAAATCATCTCCAACCTCCAACATGGATTCAGACGCGGACGATCTTGCCTCACCAATCTACTACTTGCTCGGGACTCATGGACCAGGGCTGCTGACGAGGGAGTTCCCGTAGATGTGATTTACTTAGACTTTTCTAAGGCATTCGACAGAGTCAATCACCCAGCACTTCTCCGAAAGCTTGCGGCCTATGGTATCCACGGATCCTTGCTCACATGGTTGGAAAGTTACTTATACGACAGAAGAATCGAGGTAAGGATCGCCAACACCCACTCCGATAGCCTATGCGTCACTAGCGGCGTACCGCAAGGATCAGTTCTCGGCCCGTTACTCTTTTTAGTCTATATCAACGACCTCCCTGCCAACATTCAATCACCTATGCAAATATTCGCCGACGATGCTAAGATGTGACGAGATATTCAGTCAACATCTGACCCTGTCTATCTGCAGGATGACCTGAACCGGATTCACGAATGGGCAGTAAACAACCAACTACCCCTGAACCCCGAAAAGTGTCACCTGTTGTCGCTGCGCAGTAACTGCAGCAACACATATCACCTGGGGCAGCGCGTTATAAAACAGGTGAGCAACGAAAGAGACTTAGGGGTCATCGTGCAATAAGGTCTGGGTAATTCGCTCTAATGTTCAAAGGCAGCTAACATAGCGAACTTAAACTTGAGGCTTTTGAGGCGAGCGCTCGGTACCTTCGAGTGGCAACTCGTGCCATTATTGATTAACGCCTACATTCGTCCCCACCTCGAGTATGCGGTGCAGGCATGGCGTCCGTGGTTAAAACGGGACATTCGTCTCCTGGAGCAACCACAAAGAAGAGCCACTAAGGCAACACGTGGTCTATCGGGCCTTAGTTATGAACTGCGCCTTCGTTCGATCGGTCTGTACTCCTTAGAATACCGACGACTTCGCGGTGATCTGGTCCTCACTTACCGGATACTAAGAGAAGAGGACCATCCATGTAAGTCGCTGTTAACATTATCTGTCGACAAACGATGCCGAGGCCATGCACTAAAACTTGTGACTCAATATTCCCGTTTAGATTGTAGAAAGTTTTTTTACTCTCTTAGTGTCTGTCCGCACTGGAACGCACTGCCATCGCATGTGGTGAACGCACCAAACATCGAGACATTCGAAAGACTATTGGACTTGCACTTACATGATACACATTATATAACGGTATGACAAACTGCAGTGTCTAACTTACTGATATTTTTGTGTCACACCTGAAACTTTTGTTTTCTTCCATTTGCCATCCTGTGGGTCTTGTAAAGTTATTGCTTTTTATCCCACCATACACTATTGAACTATTGAACTATTGATCTCTCAGGAGATCAGCCCAGTCGTGGCCAACAATGAAATAAGGAAGAGAGTAAAATAAGAAAAATTGCATGAAAGTGGTAATATATCCTTAATGCCAAAAAATTAACAGGTATGCTTTACATCAGCGCAAAAATTGATCGAGTCGATCATACGATTAAATTGTGCTGCGTGACAGCCGGAGACAGATAACTGAACAAGTTGTCCATAAGCAAAAGTCAAATAGGGAATCCGTTATTGTAATCACTGAATTCCGGTATATGTTTCTGGACTGTTGACTCAGAAAAGAAAGAGAAATGTTTAGCATTGCAAAACAAATGTAGCGAATGGAATCGCAGAATAAATCTTACGAATCAGTCAATTTTTGAGGAGGAATACGGAAGTGGTTACTTGTCCCATACAAGTAAATAACTGTACTCGCTTTTTTAGATAAAAAAACGGTTGGCATGAATTAAGTTTGAAAGGAGTAAACCGTAGAGAAAGTTGCATATAAAGAATAGCATAAGAAGCGGTCGTAACAGGTCATCCCAGATGATCATGTTTGTTCTGGTGCTTTTGTTGGATCAGTTTCCAGTCGATGTTCTCCGGTATCATACATGATCCGGCTCTTCTTCATACAGCTTTCATCATCATTGAATTTATAAGATCCATTTCAACTTGTAAGTTGACAGATAAATTTTTATCAGTTTCTTGAACATGCAAAAATGTTCAATACCTCTAATCTCATTTTGCAGGTTATTCCCCATGGAGCCATACCTGAGAAGGTAGAAATTCTCCTTAGGCTTCTCTTGAATTTAGGTAAAGAGAATACGCATTCACTATCTCGCAACTCATAAATGGTATCATCCCGAAAGTGCAATTGATAGGTTCCAACATATGCTTTCCGCCACGCGGGTTTGTGGAGGAAGCACAGATTTAATTGCATTTTCCGTAACTACAGAGGTTCAAGATTCACCTACTCGCACGTATCTGTATGAAAGAGCGATTGAACAACCAAATATACGCTTCCTGACTGCGAGCTGAATGTTTTCACTGGCTCTCAACTCACAATTTCGCAAGTTACTGGACGTAACACAGCAATATTCAATCGAAGGTCCGAGACTGATTTTGAAAGCAATTAGTCTAGTTTCTTTCAAGGTTAGCAGGTGGCATATGAGCCCGACCTACTGCTTAGCATTTTTCACGATATGATTTGTATGTTCGCGAAAGTTTGACAAACTAGAGTATCTCACTTAAGTCACGAACAGACTGGCTGATGGGAATGACTTCATCATTAAGCCTGAACAATTCTGCTGCGATCTGACATCCATAATCCAGAATACTACACTTCGATGTTGCGGACGTCATCTGCCACATATCAGCCCATCCCTCAATGGCTTTCAAGTCGCTAGGGATATCGTGAAGTTCAACGGCATGCTGCGAACCTGGGAACATGTAAACCACCTTTAAATCATCAGCAAACAAATAAGGCTTCCCAAATTGTATAACAGAAACGAGGTCATTTATATACAGTAGGAAGAGTAACGGACGAAAAACACAGCCCTTTACCACTCCACTGGGGACCAAAAGGGCTGAAGAGATGTAACCATGGATATCCACAAGTTGCGATCGTCCTAGTAGGTACGATTGGATCCAAGAGTGAGGTGTATTTGTCACACCGTACTTACTTAATTTATATAGCAGCTTCTGTGTGGGATTCTGTCAAAAGCTTTTGCATGTCCAAAAAATGACAATGCACTGAAGACCTGAGTCAATTGCTTCAGTTAGATGGTTAAGGAAGTCAACTTGACAGGTAACACACGAGCGATAATTCAGAAAGCCATGTTGTGAAGGTGAGAGAACTTTGCGCGATTATAGGCACGAAACCAAATGTTCCTTAAAAGTTCTCTCTAGCAGGCGTGAGAGAATGGCAGTGTGGCTAATGGGGCGGTAGTTGCGGATGTCAGTTTTCCATCGGGACTTATGTTTCGGTACCACCGTAGCCGCTTTCCAACGTTCGGGATATTGACCAGGCTGGAGAGACAAAGAGAAGATATTCAGTAATATAAGGGGAAGATCATCTCCACCGAGTTTGACTAAAGCAGAAGAGATCCCATCTGGGCCAGGTCTGTTGGAGGGTCGTAGACAGGTAATCATAC